ACTGTAGCATTATTCACAATAGCCAAAAAAAGGGAAGCAACCTAAGTGTTCATGGACAGATGGATAAAAAAGATGAGGTCCATTCATACAATGGCAAATAATTCAGCCTTAAAAAAAAAAAAAGGAAATTCTGCTGTATGTGACAACATGGTTGAACCCAAAGGACTTTATGCTCAGTGAAATAAGCCAGACCAAGAGAGGACACATACTGCGTGATTCCACTTCTATGAGCAATCTAAGAGTCAATTTATAGAAACAGAAAGTAGAATGATTATTGCCAGAGACTAGCAAGAGGGGGAAATGAGGTGTTGTTGTTCAATGGGTATTAAGTTCCAGTTATGCAAAGTTGAATTTGTTTTCGAGATCTGCTGTACAGTCTATGGCCCTACCACCCTGAACGCGCCCGATCTCGTCTGATCTCAGAAGCTAAGCAGGGTCGGGCCTGGTTAGTACTTGGATGGGAGGTCTGAGGTACAATATTACACCTATAGGTAATAATACTCTGTTGTGCACTTAAAATTTTGTTGAGGGTAGATCTTATGCTGTAATCTTAATGCAATTTCTTTTTTTTAAAGAAAGCATGCTCTGTGCTCGCTTCGGCAGCACATATACTGAAGAAAGCATGCGCGTAACTTCCCTGGTGGTTCCAGAGGTTAAGAATCCTCTTTCCACTGCAGGAACCATGAGTTCAACACCTGGTTGGGGAAATAAGATACCACAGGCTGAGTGGCACAGCCAAAAATTTTTTAAATAAGTAAATAATAAAAAATAAAACATGCTCTACAGACCCGTCCCTGCTCCTGCCTCACTGTACTTCTCCCAAAACATATACACTCAACACGCAAAGCTGATACAAGGCTTTGGGCTTCTCCACTCTGCCTTCTCCATCACTGGAGACATGTCCTGGTGGGCTGCTTTGGTGGGAGAGGCTATGGGTCTCTACTTAGGGACCTCAGACTCATCCCCAACGTAACAATATAACACTGGAATCCCAAAGCCACTAGGAAAGATATAGAGAGCCTTGGGGGACTGCATTCTTGGAGACACTGTCTTCGAGGTCATTTGGCAGAATAGAATGCACCCCAGAAAGAAATTCCTGGGAGCACACTCAAGTTTCTCATGCCCCACCTGCACGAGAACACACTAGACGTTGAATAGTGTCCCCCCAAAATTCATGTGCTTCCTGTGAGTAGCCTAGCTGCAAGGCAAGGAAAAGACCCTGATGCTGGGAAAGACTGAAGGCAAAAGGAGAAGAGGGCAACAGAGAATGAGATGGCTGTGATAGCTTATGGTGAACGACGTTGGATTTGTGAATTCCAAAGAAAAAGATTTAGCTTTGGGATCAGGGACCAGGCTTGATCGCTCAAAAGCTTTTGAGTGTAGGAGGGTTTTATTAAAGTATAAAAAGGACAGAGAAAGCTTCTGACATTGACATCAGAAGGGGGATGGAGAGTGCCCCCTTGCTAGTCTTAGCAAGGCCTTTTTTTTTTTCTTTTTTTTTTTTTTTTATTTTACATGTATTCCCCATCCCGGTCCCCCCTCCCACCTTATCAAGGCCTTTTATGCTTTTACCAGACCATCTTCCACAACATACATTCTTAAATTAAAAAGCTTAGAATTAACAATAGAAAGGTCTTACCTGAACCACTCCCATGTAAAATAACAAGATTAGCCAAAAGATTCTTGATAAAAAGGAGAAACATGTCCTTGAGCAAGATACATTGTTGTTATATAATCCTTAGTATGGAGCTTAAGATGAGTTGTTTCCTTGTGTAATCATCAGCTTTGGGCTTAAAGAAAATAACATCTTATGTGACAGACTAAGGAATGTAGGGAAAAAAAGTTTGTCCTTTTCTCCTCCTCAAGAGCCCCAGACTCCTTTCTCCTCCTCGGGGACCCTGGACTTCTTATCAGCCTACCTGAGAATTAACTCTCTCAGTTGGATGCCATCACCGACTCAATGCCTTCCCTGATATCAGGCTCATTTGGTAAAGAATCCACCTGCAATGCAGGAGACATGGGTTCAATCTCTGGATGGGGAAAAGCCCCTGGAGAAGGGAATGGCTACCCACTTCAGTATTCTTGCCTAGAAAATTCCATGGACTGAGGAACCTGGTGGGCTATAGTCCACGAGGTCATAAAAGAGTCGGACAAGGCTGAGGGACCGAACACGCAGAAATAGGAAACCTAGGTGGCTCCTCTGTGGCACCAGGGTCTTGTGCTCTCGTCCACACGTCCCCACCCATCTCTCTCTGCCCCTGGGCCCTTCCACGCCTCTATCTCATACAGCTTCCGATTCCTGACTAATACAGTAGATCAACAGGGGGCCAGGCATGCTGCATTCCTGCCAAGCAAATCTGATCAGCCCAGCTAGAGTCATGTATCTACCCTGACCAATCAACTGTGCCAGAGAAGTGGCACCACATGACGCCAGGGATGATCACTAAAATTGGAAACAAACACTGTAGCCCCGAGAAGGAAATGGCAACCCACGCCAGTACTGTTGCTTGGAAATTTCTGTGGACAGAGGAGCCTGGTAGGCTACAGTCCAAGGGGTCATAAGGAGCTGGACACTACGGCGTGAGTTCATTCATTCACTGCACTCAGTGTAGCCAGAGATTGACCAATCAGGTTTGAAGTTGGCCCCTGGACTACACTTTTCCCCCACCAATCCCAGAGGTGCATTCAGTGTTAACACTTTGGATCCTGGGTTATCAGGGCCATCCCAGGGTCCCGAGGAAGTTTCCAACAAAGGGAGGTGGGGAGTAATAGGTATTTGCCAATTAGCATACAGCTACTTTCATAATTTAATGATAGATATGCCCATATTTCAGACTTCCCTGATGGCTTAGAAGGTAAAGAATCTGCCTACAACGTGACAGACCTGGGTTCAATCCCTGGGTTGGGAAGATCTCCTGCAGAAGGGAATGGCAAACTACTCTAAAATTCTTGCCTGGAGAATTCTATTGATAGAGACTACAGTCCGTGAGGTCGCAAAGAGTCAAGCACGACTGAGCAACTAACATTTTCACTTTCATGCCCATATTCACGGTTGTCAGTTCATTGTCAGTTCTGTTCACTCAGAAGGGATGTGGGGAATAGAACTCTTTGAGAAGGAGTAGAGATGGGTCAGGCAATGAAATTCATCTTCACTGCCCATCACACACCCTCCTGGCTGTCTACCACAGGCAAAGTTCTTCCCCTTCCTCCTCACCTCCACCCCTCCTCTTAAGTCCCCATCAAGGTCACCTGCTCTATGGAAACCTCCCTGCCCACCTCAGCCCCAGGAGCCAAGGTCCATCTGGTTTAAATGGGCCAAGGGGCAGATTTTCATGATGGGAAAACTAGGGGGATTGGGAGAACTGGTCAGGACAGTGGTGTGCTAGTGAATGTTTAACAACCAGCTCTCATGAAGCAGAAAATTGAGCAACTTCCCTAGTGGTCCAGTGGCTAAGACTCCATGCTCCCAATGCAGGGGGCCTGGGGTTCAATCCCTGGTCAAGAAACTAGATTCCACACGCCACATCTGAAGATCTCGCATACTCAAAAGAAAGATCAAAAGGTCTTCAAGTGCTGCAACTAAGTCCCAATGCAGCAAAATGAATAAACGAAAATAAATTTTTTAAAAAGGAGAGAATTGAATCTGTATTTATTATGAATTTTATTGGCATAAATGTTTAGCATGCAACCTCCAGCGATAAAATAAGATACTCCCCACTGCTTCCATACAGCCAAAACTGAGTGTCACAGAACAACTTTCTCGTGTTTTTTTTTTTCCACTCTTGTAACCCAAAGCCAATCTATGCTTGCAGGTGAGAAACAAGCGAATGGAGGTTGATAATTTCCTCTAGACACAGAGACAGAACGAAACAATCAAGATGTGTGTTCACACTTCACTTGCTTTTTGATGATGCTTGGAACTTCTTTGCTAAATCAGATAATGGTTTGACAGCACTATAGAAAGACTTCCTCGATTTTTTTGTGTGCTAGTCACAATATAACAGCTACAGACAAAACCCACATAAATGTCATCTGCATGGTGAACATCTGTTTTCCCAGCACTTTTGAGTGTAGGCAATCAACAAACAGTACATCCTATTGGACTTGTAAGCTTTGCCGCTTCCCCTAGTGTAAATACCATCACCATGGTCCATCTTAAGTTACTAGTGTGGTGATACTGAACACGGAGTTGACAAGCAATTTCCTGCAAAACGGAATTTTACAGTATTTCCACTGCCAGATGTAGTAGAGGTAAACTATCTCAAGGGCACAGAAATAAGATCACGAGAATAAAAAAAATCCCATGCCTAAGGCACAGAGCAGTTTGAAGCCTCAAGATAACTCACATTGTCTAGTAAATGTACAATACATAGCAGTCATAATATATAAAAATATTTTATTATCCAGCATCAGGTACCACCCCACACCCTCCCGTATGTCCCAGTTAAACAGGGTCACACACAGTCATAGTGTAAAGCCAGCATATTAGACCACCAGCTGGGCAAAAGCTGAAGGTTTTGTCTTATCTTGTTCCTGGCTGGATCCCCAACACCTAAAACAGTGCCTGATAAATTTTGCATGAGTGAATAAAGCTCACACAGCATAGATACTTGGACCCCCTCCCACAAGTTAGCCCCATGAGTCCCATGGAGTGGGGAGGAGAGGGGTTGGAAATGAGTCTCTTATTTCTCACATATTAACATAAATAAGGATGGGGAGAGGGTCTATTTTATTTGCTCCTATTTCTCTAGCCCTGTACAGTGCCTGGCATGGAGCAGAAGCTCAATAAATATGAGTTGAATGGATTAAAATAATGTACAGTGTCTGAGCTCAGCTCAGAATAAATACCGAGGGACCCAGAGGATCCTGGAGGAAGGGGTCAGCAGCACTGACCCCTGGCCAGCCCAGTGAGGTAGAGGAGCTGGGTCCCGTCACCTGGGGCCCCAAAGGAGGAAGGGAAGATGCAGTCTTGTTCCAGGAGGTGACACCTAGCCCTGGGGTCACGTGAGCTTTGACAAGGGAAGTCCACTGGGAACTTGGGCGGCCACGCGGAAGAGGCCCCAGACCGTGGCTTCGGCTGAGAGCTGCCAGGAGAGAGGCTCCTGGATCGCGGGGCGCAGGTAGACGCTCAAGCGCTGCCCTGCATCCAGGTGCAGCAAGCTGCTCCGGAAACCAGCTGCTGAGTTCCCCGAGGGTGGGGGTGGCAAGTCCAAGGTCAGGGTCAGGGGGGCCCCGGCTTGGCGAGGCTGCAGGTCCAGGGCCACAGAGACGGAGTCGGAGCGGTTGTGGTTGCTGGCCATCACGCGCTTCAGGGTCAAGTGCAAGAAAACATAGTAGACTCCGGCCTCGGGGACCACCAGCTCTTGGGTGTGCTTGTCATAGTGCACGCCTGGCGCCAGAGTCACACCTGTCAACCCCGGCTCGCTCCGCCACTGCACCGGCCCTTCCGTCAGCTGTGCTGTGGGAGGGGAAGGAGGGTTAGCCGAGCAGGTGTGCAGGGCTGGTGGGCGGGGAGCATAGCCCTGGGAAAGGGGGGGCGGCTCTAAGGGAGAGGCAGACGTGGGGAGGGGTCTGTGAGAAAGATCAGGGAACTCGGAGAACGAAAAGGGTCTCGGAGGGAAGTGGGGCTTGAGGAGGGGAAAGAAGGGCTAAGAAGGGAGGAAAGGGTTCGGGGGGAGGGGGGAGAGACTCAGAAATCTGGAGATTGAAGAAGCGGAGGGGTAACAGGGGGTGTCGGTGGAGGGAGAGAGACTTCCAGGAGCCAGGAGGAGGAGGACATGTAATGCCAGAAAGGATGATGGAGGGGAAAGGGGGGTCCTAGGGATGGGAGGAAGGGGTTTGGAGAGAGGGGGCGGGCCGAGAGGGGGTAGAATGGAGGGACTGAGAAGGAGGCGGGGCGAGAGGGGGAGGGCGGGGAAGGGAAGCTTGTCGGGAAGGAGCGAAGATCCTAGAGGAAAGCTAACGGGAGAGAGAAAGGGGTGGAGAGTGAAGAAGGAGGGAATTTCAAAGAGAGGAGAGGAGGTTGCAGGAGAGTCCGGAAGGGGGAGGGAAAGGGCTGGGGAGAAGAGTCCCCAGAAGAGGGAGAGGAAAGGGGGACCCTCTACAGAGGGAGGGTGAGGAGCAGGGTCTGGGAGAGGAAGGGGCAGAGGGAACTGGTAAAGAGTCTCCCGAAGAGGGAGAAGGAGGAGGAGGAGGAGGGTCTCCGGAAGCGGGGAAGGGAAGTGAGTGGTAAACAGGGTTTCCAGAAGTGAGGGAGGGGAAACAGGGCTGGGGAGGAGGGGTTCGGATCCCCCAGAGCCCAGGAGGAGAGAGCCGACCCAGCTGAGATTTGCGCGGATTCAGGCCCAGCATTGAGAGGGCGGGGGTCTGAGGCGGACACAGATGGAGGTCAGAGGGTGAGGAGACCCGGAGAGGGACAGCCGAGGTTCTAAGAGGGTATGGGCAGCTTTTCAGAGAAGGGAGGGAAAGGTCAGATTGGGTCGGGGGGTGGGGGTGCTTCCCTCTCCCGGAGCTCTCCCATTTTGTGCACCCTCCCCCCGCTCCCCCGAATCTTTAGGGAGTCACTCACCACCATCGGCCACCACCAGCTGCGCGAACACGCCCTGCTGAGAGAAAGGACAAATGGAAAGTGGATAAAAGTCCTCCTACTCGCAACACGCAGCCCCCTGGAAAGTGGGGTCCCCGGGATCTGCGCAGGCCTTGAGCCTACAGTCTTTATGGTCCCGTCCCTTCCCATTCCAAAAGAACCACCCCCTCCCCCCGCCCCGCGCGCGCGCGCGCACACACACACACACACGCACACATACACATACACACGCTGCCCCAGCCCTGGCCGTCTGCAAGGAAAGGACCCCAAGGACTTAGGACGGAAATGAGGAAACAGTCCCTCCGGGGGGCTTGACACTGCAGTCTTGAGGGGGAAAGGAGAGTACCCCTACGCGTCCGGGAGAAAACCGAGGTTCTCCGCGAGTTACGAAAGAAAAGGGAACCCCCCCCCCGATGGTTGCAGACAGTGTCCCTCGGGGTGCGCGTTGGTGAAACGGTCCCCTCTGAAGCCCGGGGTGCAGATGGGGTCTCACGAGGGGTTAGGATTAGAATGGCGCCCCCCCTGGAGACCTGGATAAAGAATTGGTGCCCTCAGAAATCCAAGAAGGACGGGGGGTGGGTCTCTCCACCCTCAGTCTGGGACGCAGAAAAGACCTCGCGGGAGGCGGGGACGCGGATGGACAAGGGGTCACGAGGCTGGGTACATGTCTCTCTCGGGGTCCAAATCGGGCAGTATCTCACCTGCGGAGAGTTGGGGAGGCTGGCGTGGGGGTCGGAAGTCTGCTCCAGGCCCACGGGGAGAATCGAACTGGGCGCGGGACTGGAAACAGGCGAGGCAGGAGTCCCGGGGACGCCCCAGAGCCGCACCACGCAGGTGGCGCAGGCAGCGGCAAGCAGCAGCAGCGCGGCGCTCAGAGCCCAGGGCAGCGGGTTGCAGACGCGACCCGGGGACGCGGGAGACCGCTGGGCCTCGGGGTCCGGGGTGACGGGTGTGTTGGAGTGCATGGCCGGCTGCGGGCGGCTGCGAGCCGGGTCCAGCGCACGGCCCTTTATAGCTAAGCCCCGCTTTCCGGGGAGTGGCCCGTGGGGATCCCAGCGACCCGCTGGGTAGGTTGGTTCCCGCCCCCCCCCCGCCCCGTGCGGCCCCGCCCCTCCCCGGCCAACTTCGGTCCAAACTTTCCCCAACTTTCTCTTCCCTGAATCTCTCTCCGTCTCCTTTTCTCTCTGTAGCTCTCCACGCTCTACTCCATCAAATCCTCTTGATCCCCAGTTATCTCTCTTGCATCTCCCTGGTTATCTCCTCGCCTCTATGCTTCTCTCTCTTGTCTCTTTCCCCGATTTCTTATCCCTCCCTAGAGCCCCCCTCAGCATTGGGGCTCCCCCAGGGCTCCCCTAAACTCAGCACTTCTTCGAGGAGTCAAACAACAGCCAGGCCTCGGACCGCTTGTCCTCTGGAGCATAAGTCCTCCCGGTGGAACCCCGAGTGCTCTGCTTAGTCCTCCCTCTACTTCCCTCTCTTTTCCCGGGACCCCGGACCTTCCCTGGCCTGCCCCCACCCACCCACCCAGACGCTTCCCGTCAGGGGCTCCCTGGACCCCACAAGCAAAAGGCTGGAGAGTCCAGGTGGAGAAATTCCCCTTGTAGGAAAGGGACAATCTTGAGTGAGGCGGAGGAAGCTCAAATTTCCCGTTCGCGCTCCCGTGGTGTCCGCGGGGGCGGGAGGAGGAGCGGAGATGCGGCCAAAACTCTGCCCCAAAAGAGGAAGCAACCGTGGATTGACAGATGGCCAGCCCTAGAAAAGCCCTGGGCTCCCATAGAAGCCCGGCTCTGCCCAGACCAGCAGGGTAGACCTCGCCATCCTTCTTCAGGTCTCACTTCCCCTATAGCGCAAGGGAGAATGGACCCGGGAATTGATCTCACCCGTCCACCAGCGGCCCAGGAAATGGGGGGAGGGGTGTTTTGGTTCAACTGAACAAAGATCGGATACCGGCCCTGTATTCAACCTTTTATTAAGCCTCTCTGAGGAATTAAAAGGAGAAAACACTAATGATACTGGCTCTTGTTGACACCTAGGTGTAAAACGCTTCCGTTAATACTAGCGGTTTATAAAAAAGCGCGGTGCCCAAACCAGCATCACCTGGGGACTTGCTAGCTCTGCAAATTCTAGCACCTCAGCCAGACCTAGTGACATTCTGGGAACTGAAGCCATGCAGTCAGTGTCTGATGGAGCCTTCAAGAACATTCTGACACTTGCCCAAGTTGAAGAACCCACTGCGTTTTACCAAGGTTATTCCTTCGCACCTGCTGTCCCCTACGCGTGGAATGTTCTTTCCCCCAGATCTGCGGTCAGCTGTCCTTCTGAGTAAAGAGGATGAATTAAAGTCCAGCGCCTACTTTTACTGTCTCCCCAAATCTCACTGCAACCATAGTTAAGGGACTGTCTTAAAACCTAAACCAAAACATGTCAGCCATGGGGTGGAATGCCAAATAAACATTCCATAGCAAAATACCACCATCAACCACCATGTCTCACGCCTCAGTTATTGGTGACCTCCTGCCAACTCCAAAAGAGATGTGGTAGGTGGCAGCTAAAGTAGAAGCGTTGGTTGAAAGTAAATTCCCAAAAGAGATACCAGCTTTGCTCCCCAGTAGGGTGGAAACACAGCCATTTCTTGGTTGCCTTTTTTTCCTCTCCAGACCACGGAAATCTCAACATTTCTGGTGGCAGGAATGCAGTTGATAACAGAAGAATCATGCTAGCATCATGTGTGAATCAAATGTGTGAACTTGAATGCAAGAGTTGAAACTGTCCCACCTTGACCTTCGCCCCCTACCCAGCAGCCAGGACCTGAAAGATAGGGATGGGTGGGATCTTTTCTCAGAGGAATCTGACTGGCCAGGAAGATAAATACAAAGATTCTGAGGACAAAGAGGCTTAACCAGATACCGTCGCTCTGCCAAGAAGCTCACAGGCCACGGCCCGTTCTGTTTATTATTAAACCCCACCCCAAGGCAGCTCACAGACAAGGTTTGCCTGAGCTGACAAAAAAGAGGAATTCAGAGAACTCCCAGGCACCATCTCGGACAACCCAAATGAAAGTGTCTCTCTCTCGGGCCCCAGTTACATCACCCCTTGAAATTTCCTTACTAGCAGTTTCCACCACGTGAGATATTCTTGTTCGTTTGTTTACTTGCTCATGGTTGTTTTGCCCCAAGAAACTGTTAAGTCCCAAAGAGGAGTATCTTCGCCTGCCTGGTTTCCATGCTACCTCCAAAACCTAGAAAATTATAGGCCTTGATAGTATTTATTGAATAAAGGAATGAATGAAGTATAATAGTTACCTGCATGGATTCTAGAGGTGAAAAAACCTTAGTTCACTGACATTTTGTGTGCTTTCATTTTGAAGCAGCTGGGAAAAGTCAAAAGAAGACTCCTGACAGGTGCAAATCATGTGAAATTCAAATTTCAGTGTCCACAAATAAAATTATATCAGCACACAGCCACGCTCATTCATTTCCATACAGTCTGTGGTGATTTTTGCAATGTTCCAGTCAAACAGAGATTGTTTGGCCCACAAAGCCCCGAATGTTTACTCTCTCTGGTCTCTCAGTGGAAAATTTGCTGCCCCCCGCTCTAACAGTCTTGCATTTCAGCCCTCCAGTGTCTTGCTGTGTGGTCTGGGGCAAGCTGCTTCAGGTCTCTGAGCCTCACTTTTCACATCCACTAAATGGGACTAAGAGTAAATCTCAAAGGGTAGCTGAGAACTTGCTGTGAGCAGTGGCAGGCCCATGGCAAAGGCTCATTCCAGGTGAGCTGGATCACTGAGTTTTCTACAATTCCAATGGCTGGAGTAAAAAAAAAAAACAAAACTGAGACTCCAAAAGTCAAAGTCACAGTCAAGGACTTCCAGTGACTTCTGAACTCTAGATGCCAAGGGGCTTAGCAGAATTCTGTACACCCCCTCCAGGGTGGGGGAACAAGGCCTGGCAGCCTGGGGAAGGTGCAGGCCGCAGCCAGGGAGCGCCATGACGCATTGTTGTGGTCGGGACATATGACATAGACAGCCCCGCCCACCATAGAGCTCTCAGCATCAGTTGCCTAGCACCCCATGGTTCAGTAGTTGCACCTCTGTGCTCAGCTGTCTCCCCAGGAGAGAGTGGGCCCTGGTTTCCCTCCCCTCTAGAGGAAGGACCTGAATTCTCTCACCATTGCCGTTCCAGGGCTCAAGGGAGGGATTGGGCAAGAAGTAGTTGGGGGGGTGGGGAGGACCCTTCTCTCCTCTCAGAGGCCCAGAAAACAGGCACCTCCTCTAGGAAGTATGCCTTGATTTTTCCTAGCCAAACTCACCTGAGTTCCTGACTGCCCGCCACCCTGTATGAAGTCCATTAGCCTGGATCCTTCATGTCCCCACAGGCAAAGCCTGAAAGAGATCTTTAGTGATTACTGGGTAAGTGCACAGTGAGAGGGCATGGGATGCAGCAGGGGGCTGTAAACCAAGAAAAGAAGAAAAATGAGAAGAAGAATTGAGTGAGATTGGTTTTGAACTGAAGGAGTGTCCACACGTGTTCAAGGAGGAAATTGAAACAGAGAGAGGAATCACGTTCTCCAGGTTAGGTCTCTGGAAAAGCTGGGTCCAAGTCTCCTCGGCCCTGGGGAGGCCAGGGAAACACAGACCCAGCATGTGAATGCACTTGCCAGATTGTGTAAACATGACAAGGCATGATGGTGCCATTAGACTTTGTGGAGTTGGGGTTCCTACGCAGCTACTGTTGAACTGTGTGTTTCCAACATAATGAGTGTTCAGGATAAGCAAAGTGGTAGTGAGGGGATGTACCTACCAGTGTGTTTCTAGTTGAGGAACAACAATGGCACAAGATCCCATCTCTGAGCCTCGCTTTTCACACCAGCTCCAGGAGTTGGTGATGGACAGGGAAGCCTGGTGTGCTGCAGTCCATGGTGTGGCAAAGAGTCAGACACGACTGAGCTGAACTGAACTGAACTGAAATGGGAATAAGAGAAGGTCTCAATGCATAGCTAGCTTTAAATCCCAGTTCTGTCTCAAAGCAAATGCCTTCACCTCTCTGCCTCGAGGTTCCCATCTGGGAAGTATAGCTAATACAGAGACCACCTCCTAGGATTACTGTCCTGAATCGGAAGCCAGAATGGCACCTGGCATACAGCAAGTGTTCTCTGGCATGATTGAGGCTGATGGTCTGGTGCCTCTGTGTGACTTGTAGGCGGGGATTTGATCCTGTAGATGAAGCACCAGGGTCCAGAAACGAGTGCAGATGTCTGGGCCAAAAGAGAGGCAGGAAGAATTCAGAATGGAAATAGTCAGAAGTGTCATCGAAAGAGAAATGGTCAGATTATCACTCATAGAATCAGTTCAGTAATCAAGCCATGGGGGAGGTTGAGTCATCTATTTGGGGCCGGATAGAGATCTCTAAGGGCTAAGAAAACAAAGAATGCGGATTTGGTTTTAGAGCAAAGACACATTTGCATAGCACACATCTGGAAGGTTTATAAGAAGCTTAGTGGGGGACTTCCCTGGTAAGACTCTGCACTCCTAATGCAGGGGGCCTGGATTCAATCCCTGGTCAGGGAACTAGATCCCACATGCCACAACTAACACCCAGGGTGGCCAAATAAATAAATTTTTTTTAAAAAAGGAAGGAAGCTAGAGGTATTCAGGAGAATTATCTGAAAAAGAGATCATGAACCTTCCACTGTATAAGCTTCTGCCCACTTACATTTTCCACGTTTGCTTTGTCTTGGTTTGTGTGTGTGTGTTACGTACAGAATCGTGGTCAGGTATGAGCACATAGAAAAACCAGTGGCCACACACACACACACACACACAGAATTTAACAGAAAAAAATAAAAAGGAAAGAAACCAGTGACCTGGTCTATTTGGAGGAAGGGAAAATTTTCACACCAATGACATCAAAGGTAGGAAATGGTGTTTCCCTGCTAATGGCAGTGGACAGACACAGGGATGGGGAAGACCCAAGCATACCAGGGCAGGCCCTGGGTACCCCTCAGAGGGCCCGGTCCCTGAGAAGCCAGCTCACTCTGCTGAGAAGCAAGCCAGCCTGTCCCAGGAAGGAAGCCCCAGCATGGCTAACACCTGGAAGGGACTCTCCAACTGGCCCAGAAAGGCAGCCACCAGACAGACACTGGTGTACAAAGGACATCCTGATTCAGGCAGTACACAATTACACAAACAAAGACAGACACACAAACACACAACACATGCACATACACACACTGAGACATATAAGCACAGATACACAAGAGTAGCCACCAAAGCTAGCCACAGACACACACAGAGACACAACAGATACATATTCAGAGCATATACACCCAAGAAGATAGGTACACACAATAGCAGACCCACAATCACATGCATACCAAAACAGTGGTGGGGATACACCATACAGGCATACACACAGTCACACACTAAGACGTGCCCAGAGATGCAATCCTAGACACACAGCTGCCCAAGCTAGCCACAACAGCACAAAAGCCACACATGCCCAGAGTCACACATACCCACTAACACATAGCCTGAAAGAGTCTTGAAGGCTCTGGGATACGCATTCAAAGACACACAGTATCAGATGCCCAAAGACCACCAAAGGCACTTAAGTCACACACTGACTGACCCAGGCTGACCTGGAAAGACTGGCAAAGACACAAATGCAAGGGAGCACAACCAAAGAAACCCAGGTCCCGCCCCCAGGGAAGATCCAGGGTCTTTGAGCCACCAAAGATCCACCCCCCAGGCTCTCCTTCGGGGGGCCTATCCCTTCCTCCTTTAAGGAAACTCTGGGTCCCTTTCCTTGGCAGTGTGGGCCGCGGGCGACCCCTGGTGGACCCGGAGCCTCGGTCCAGGGCTTCACGGAATGGGCGGGTGGGAGGAGGGTGTCTAGGCTGAAAGGATGAAAAAAAGATGCTTCGGCGTCTACTGAAAAACTTGGAGAAAGGCGCGTGGTAACAGGGAAAGGGAGACACCGGAGCCCGGCTGGAACGGGATCAGACAGGGTCTTGGACGCGGGAACAGGGCATAGGAAGCAGGAGTGGGACTGAAGACCCCCACCCATCCCCACTCTGGGCAACCCCGGGTCCCCGAGGGGACGGTGCTCCGGGGACAGTAAAGACAGGGTAAGCCCCGAGGCGAATTCCCATTGGCCCGCGCCGGACCAATGAGGAGCTGCAAGGACTCCCGGCGTGGCGGAGAGGAACAGGGCAGCCCTTGATGGAGATGGAAGGGTCCCGCCTGCCCAACCAGGCTCTCAGCCGGAGAATGACCACCAGGGAATCGCCCAAGGTCTGCAATCGCCAGGACGGAGACGTCTCTCCCAGGAGGACTCTCGTCAACTCCGATATGACTTTGACCCGCGGGACCCTGAGAAAGGTGGGCTTGCCCCTCGCAGAGCATCCCCAGTCTCCCAAGCCCTGCCCACTCCCAAGCCCCACCACTTCCCTGTCATACTTCGTAGCCCTTTCCACTTCCCTTTCTCCCAGGCCCCGCCCACTCTCCCGGCTTCGGCATCCCAAGCCCTGCCCATTCACCAGCCCCTCCCACTCACCTGTCATTCACCATAGGCACCGCCCACTTCCTAGACACCATTGTCCCAAGCCCTGCCCACCCTCCAGTCCCGCCCACTTTCCCGTAAGCTCCGCCCACTTCTCAGACCAACTTCCAAGGTCTTGCCCACTCTCCTGGCCCACTCACTTTTCTACTTTTCTCGGGGCAACACTGACCTCTCCCCAGGCTCCGCCTTTTTATTGTCTCCCTAGTCTGACCTTCCTGGAGACTCCAGTCTCTGAGTATTTTGTCCTGGGTTACACTTCTCCAGAACTCTCTGCCCCATTCCCAGTCCAGGTCTTTGAACCATCCCCACTCCTAGTCTGACTTTTCTGGAGTCCTCTGGTCTCTGAGCATTTTGTCTGAGCACTCAGTCCCCACCCACTTTGTTCCTCTCCACCTTCTTCCAGACCCCACTCAAACTTTCAAGACCTTACCCCTAAATCAGTCAAGTCCCTAATGGGATGGGGCTCCCAACTAATGGAGTCAGGGAGGCCTCAGTTTCCTCCGACCCTTAGGCCATCCTCAGGAAGGTCCCACCCCCTTGGCCATTCTCGGGGTTGCCCCGCCTCCTTGGCCATCTAATTACTGGCCTGCAATGGGACCCCTCCCCGCCCACCTTGATCTTCACCATTCAAACCAGCCTCTCCCCCACTGTGACCAGATGCCTCTTGAGTTCTAATCCCAGTCTGGGTGGGCATGCCAACCCCTTCGTTCCCCACAGTCAATCAATTTACCACATACCGTCTTGGCCTTGTCTGAGTTGGAGGTCCGATACCAGTGCCTGTGGCCCGGAGACGACCCGCACAGGACGCCCCTATTCCATCCGCTGCGACACTCCTGGACTGCCAAGCTGTTGGTGGCTTTGGACTTATTCTGTCTGATGCTGGGTGAGCCCCTCCCTACCATCCTTGAGCCCCTGCCCCATGTGGACACCCAAGAAGCCTTGGAGGGAGTCTGCTGTGTGTCTTTATCTGAGGTTTGCTAGGCCTGGGGCTGGCTGCCTGCCCTAATGTGTGTACTTGGGCTGTGTGTCTTCACATTGGTGTCATCAGTATATTTCTGGGATGTCTGGGTCAATGAGACTCTGCGCGAAGGGAGCAGAAAGGGACTCTCCACAAGAATGGCTTTTGTGTGCTTACCTGTCATCCTGAATCTGGATGCTGGGGTCAGCATCCAGCTGCACATCTTTTTTTTTTTTTTTCCAGTCTTGCATATGACTTTATGTGCTGTAAGTCTCCTTGAGTTGTGTATCTGGGTCTGTCTATGTGTCTGTGGTGGGAGGTATGTTTGTACTATATATATCTCTGTGTATGTTTTGACTATGTGTATGTTTTGACTATGTGTATGTTGTGTGCAAGCCCCTGGGTCTATCTATATGTCTGGGGCTGGTCTGTGTTGCACTTATATCCATGTGAATGTATAATTCTGTGTGTATATACACATGTGTGTGTGTATGTGTGTGTCCCTTTGGGTCCCTGAGTTGCATAGTGTATTGCAGTGTTGCATGCTGTATTGGCTTGGGGGGAGGGAGTTCACTGTGGGTGACTCCTATGCATGCACGTGATCTATGGGAGCCCGTGACTATGCATCTGGGGTGGTGGTCCATCCAGTGGTATTTGTGTAGCCAGCTTTGTGTCTGGGTCTATATGGGCCTATGTGTATTGTAGGTATATTGTTATATGTCTGTGTGTGTACATCTGAATCTGGGTGTCTGGGTCAGACTGTGTGGTTGTATAATTGTGTGTGTCAGATTCTGGGTGTGTGGGTACCCATGTGGCTTGAGCTTGCTTGGGGTCCAGATGTGTGGCTGGCATAAACCAATACCCTCAACTCCCCAGTGTGTAGAACTAGTGACCAAAGCTCCTTTGCTGGGATGAGGAGGCCAGGCTGGGACACTAGCTTGGCCCTTCCAGCCCAGAGAGGGAGCTGAGGATGGTGAGAGATTGGGTTCCAGCTGCCTGACTCCACTAGGCTTCAGTGGATAACAGAGTCAAGACGGGGAGGGAGGCCTGGTATAGGCTTTTAGAATGATCAGGCCTACACCTGCTAGAGACAGGCCCCCTGGCCTGCCTGACTTCAGGATGGTAGTGTCAGGTGAGGGGCCCCAGATGCTGCTCACACACAACTTTGCTACCATTTTCTCCCAGCTCGATCAGCCACAGAACCATCCACATAGGCATGGAAGAGACACAGATACCAGACAGGACCACACACACCAGTGCAACCCACACATCCATGGACACAATGTATAATCTCCTTTTTTTCTCTCTCTCTCATACACACACAGAGACATGTACTCATGAGCACCACAAACACCTATTCACACCACATACACATGACATAGCTATCCATCAGCACACAAACACATTCACACACAAGACATGCAGAGCCACAGTCATACACGTATACATGCATACATGAGGACACACACACACACATACGGAAATAGCGAGCCCTTCCACCCTTATCCCTTCCATCATTATCCTTACCCCTTACCCACTTCATTCCCAAGACCCCACCTGTGAATGGGTCCCTGGGGCTCTGGCTGCCCATGTCCCCGTGCCCATGTCCCCGTGTCCAGGCTGTGGCAATGCTGGGAGGACAGCCTGGGCAGAAGGCCTAAGGAGAGTCAACCTCAGGTGACCCGTCCATGAGTGGGGTCATCTCCACCCCCTGCAGTCAGCCTCCCCATTGTGCTGAGTGAGACCGGTTTGCTGGAACCCCACATCCAGGGCTTCTTTTGCAATGACACCACCATCCAATACCCCCGGATGGCCCATTATATCATTGAAGACTCGGCACTCATGAAGATGGACTTCTTCATCTCCATCTTCACGGTAAGAGGCTGGCCACTTTGACCTCAGGCTGTGGTGACATGCTATGAGCAAGTTCACCCCTTTTTCTGGCAAAATGGGAACCCCCACGGATTATAGATCTAAAGCAGGAGTAAATACCACCTCTTTTTCCTACTGAAATGGGACATTTCACTGCTCAATGGCATAAAACCCCTTTCCTTGAGGACAAAGTAAGCCCCCACTTTTGACTTAGTATAACAGAAAGAACCCCCTCTCTGCCTTAGGCATGGAACAGGAAGTTCAGCCCCTCTTCCCCCCAGTAGACTGGGAAGCCCCCACCCTTTATGCAGAAGGCAGGAAGCAGCCCTGCCCCCTGGGAAGGTGGGAAACCTCCTCCTTTCAAACATGGAACATCCTGCTTCTTCCTCCTGGTGACAGGGGATGTTCTACAATTTTCCAGCATTTGGGTGGAAGTCTATCCTCTTTTCCTGGTATAACAGGAAGTCCTGCCCTTTTCAGATATGAGACAGGAAATCCTGCCTATGTATGACATAAATTAGGGAGATGTCCCACCTCTTTTCCTGGTATGACAGGAACTCCTGCCCTTTTTAGATATGGGACAGGAAATCCTGCCTATGTCTGACATAAACTAAGGTGATGTCCCACCTCTTCTCCTGATGTAATAGGAAGTCCCACTCCTTTCAGATGTAGGACAGAAAATCCTACCTATGTCTGATATAAGCTAGGGCCATGCCCTGCCTCTTTTCCTGGTATATCGAAATCCTACCCCTTTCAGATATGGGACCCCCCTTTCCCTGGTGATAACGGAAAGTCATATTCCTTGGCTTAGGAGTCTTGCGCATTTCAGACACAAGGGGTGGGAGAAGTTACCCATTTGTGTGTGTGTGTGACGGAATGAGAAGACCCACACTTTCGGCTGGTTTAGTGGGAAACAACAGCCTTCCTTCCATATGCGATAAAGTATGGAGGATTTCCCTCCCTCCTTGCACCCCCTGCCATCAGCAGTGACCCCTTCACCCATCCACTTCGGCCCCACAGACCAGCCTGGGAGAGCTGATTCGGGTCAGGGGCCTGCAGCTGAGCTCGCCAGCCTTCATGAGCAGCACTTACGTGGCCATGATCTACAAGCAGCTGGGTGCCTTCATCTTTGGCAGCCTGGCCAGCTTCTCACTGACCAGTATCGCCAAGATGACCACAGGTCAACTGCGGCCCCACTTCCTGGCCACGTGCCTGCCTGATCCAACCTCCTTCGACTGTGAGAACGGCTACATCACCAACCACAGCTGCACAGGGCATCCTGAAGATGTCCTCGATGCCAGACGAGTGGGTGGGCAGGGAGGGGAGCCCAGGAGGTGTCCCCACCCCACCCCACCCCACTCCACCCCCAGCTGATATCCATGCTCCCCCTGCCCATCCCCCAGGATGTCCTTCTATTCTGAGAACGCCTCCTTGGGGATGTACTGCATGGTGTATCTGGTGGTGAGTGTTGGTGGGAGGTGAGCTGCATACCCAGCAAGGCCAGAAAATGCTCCATTGTTCCCCCCGCCCCCACCATCCCATGGTCGGTGCCCGCAGTGCCAGGCACAGCTCCCACAGAGCTTGTGTGTTCCCCCAGAGTCAGGAGGGCAAGAGTGGGGTGGGCCCATCTCCTCTTAAGATTCATTCAGCGTCCGGGTCCCAGAATAGCAACTTGCAGGACCCTCTGTGCCCCCGGCCCCTGCCCCTGCAGCTGGAGAGGGCTCATGCCAGGCTGGGTCTGTGCCCAGGACTGGGCTCCACCAAGGACAGCAGGAAGGGAAATCACCCCAGACCCAGCTGAGGTGAAGATCTAAGATTTAGGTAATAAAATGGCAGGAAGGGAAGCAGGGGGACGGAGGGAGTTGCCTCTGGGAAGGGGCCAACAACCCAGGGGCATAGACTTGGGTGGCAGAAGCGGATTAGAGCCAGCCCAAAGCACCCAAGCTCGGTGGTGGGCAGACACAACAATACAGAGGCTCCAGCCACTGGGGCACAGGATGATCACACAGCTGCCTTCATACCAGCAATGTTTTCTCCCTGAAAGACAGTGGATTCAACTGCCAGCTCCCCCAAACCACCCCTGCCCCTTTGTATTTTAAGACAAAGTAATGACAGCTTCCTGTAATGATAAAAGCGCAGAGTTCTGGAGGTGGAATGTGCATGTTCTATTCCCAGCCTCAACTTTGTGTGACATTGGGTGAGACCTTGAAACTCAGTTTCCTCATCTGTGTGGAAATAGCACTTGCCTCCTAGGGTTGTGGTTTCATGAGTTAACACATAGATGAGCTGATACCCTCAAAGCACTTAGAACAGGATCTGGCCTAAAGGTCACTATTAATCATTAATAACAAGCAAAACAGACTCCCTTCACCCCCAGGGTGGGGCGGTGGTTGGGGGACTGGGTGCACGTCAACATGCCAACGTGCAGAGACAGACTACACACAACTCAGAGGCCAGCCTTGCTCTGATTTTTGGACGGAGTGGACAATTTTGTGAACAGAATAGTCTAGATCCCAGGGAATTCCCCCACCTCTTAAGTGTCCCTCAAGTGCCCACAGTTGATCTCTCCCTGAAACATACAAGCACCACTGTCCCATTCTTCTTGCTCATCTCAAGGAAGTAAATTTCACCTGATGGGATTTTTTTTTTTCTGTTTTCCATTTCAAAATCAAGAGCCCAAACTCTGCTCCTTGAGGGTTCACCAATGAGGCCGACCTGCTTCGATTGGAGACCTGACCCTGGCAGGAAGTGGCAGTGCTCACTCACAGCATGAGCCTACCCGGAGGGTCTCACCTGACTCAGGAAATCATTCACCACCTAACAATTCTCCCAATGCTAGCATGTAGTTAAGAGCACACAGTTCTCTTACAGTGATGGACACAGCCCCTACCCTCTTTAGAAGCTGAAATATATTTCCATACAAAACTGGCAGGTTCGGATAGAAAACACGAGTGGGCACAAAAATGTAGCCCCGGGGTGGAGTCCCTCTGATTACCCTCTCCCAGGGTTTCAAGGCACTGCCACCCACCTTCCAGCTCTACATACAGGCCGGCTCCTGGGGACAGAAAACCTGGCTCTGATGGCCCACCGTCCAGCTCCTTTTCTTGTCCCTGGCTCCACTGAGCGGCTGCCTCCGGGTTTTGGACCGCTGGCACCACCCCTATGATGCTTTGGTCGGCTTCTTGCAGGGAGCTCTGATGGCTTTCTGGGTAGCTGGGTGCAGGGAGGATCTGCTTGTCTGGGAGCCCCTGGATATGCCTGGCACTCCTCATCTCCCAGGAAGGGAATGCAGGAGAGGCCAGACTGGGGCGGGAGAATGGCCATGGAGGGAAGGTGATGTCAGCCCACCACAACCTCTCTTGGCTTCATCCCTGCAGGTTTTCTACATCTCAGGCAATGACAAGTCCCAGAACCACCTATGCTCTGCGTGCCACTTTCCTCCCCACTTTCCCTCTCTATTCCTCCCCCGAGGACCCTCAGGGAACCCAAGGCATGCCCTGACACAAAGGAAGACAGAGGGCACCCTCTGCTTTCCAGGGCCTGTGCTCCCCCGGCGGGGCTGTCCCTTCCCAGCTGGGCTAGTCCAGGAAGCCCCACCCGTTTGGAGCACAGTCCTGACCCCAGATCAGCCCTGCCCTGGAGGGGTGACACAGGAAGTCCCATTTTCCTGGGGCTGAACCCCAAATTAGCCCCTCCCAGCAGGGCCACTTCCACTTTTATGTTTTATGTTTTCTTGCTATATTAAAGAATGAAATGCCAACACCAGGTTTATGAATTCTTGAGAGATATTAACATGGATTAATAGACTTCGTATATCAATCCAGAAACCATGTCCCAGGGATCAATTATAACAACGTCTGATAATCTGCAAAGTCTCAGTCAGGTTTCTCAACTTTGGTTATTGCCATTGGTTTTCGGGGCCAGATAATTCTTCGCTGCAGGGGCCATTTCAGTGCACTGTAGGCCAGTGAGCAGCCTCCACAGACTCCACCCACTGGGTGCCAATCACAACCCCAGGTTGTAATGGAGGGGGAATCACCCCCAGCTGAGAATTTCCAGGTTAGGGGCTTCTGTGGAGCTCGCCCAAGTGACTGCACTCGATAATTATGTGACCTACTGAAGTCCCAGGATGCTACACACATTTAAATCAGAGAGAGAGGAAGTAATTCACAGATCCTGGGGTGAGGGGGAGGAGGGGTCACCCCTATTTGTATGATCTGATCATCAGGAATTTATTTTGGTGTCTTCTTGTTGTGTTAGTCGTTCAGTCATGACCGACTCCTTGCGACCCCATGTACTGTAGCCTGCCAGGCTCCTCTGCTCCTTTAAAAATTCCTTGCCTGGAATTTTCCAGGCAAGAATACTGGAGGGGCTTGCCCTTTCCTTCTCCAGGGGATCTTCTCTAACCAGAGATCAAACCCAGGTCTCCTGCATTGCTCTGGTGTCTAGTGTGAACCTAAAGATCCCACTCAATCTTGTTTTTTTCTCAAATAATTAACACAGGATTTCTTAGCCTTGAACAGCAGTCCCCAGGCTTTTTGGCACCAGGGACTGGTTTCATAGAAGACAATTTTTCTACGGACCAGGGCGGGTGGGCGGAAGGTTTGGGGACAATTCAAGCACATTATATTTCTTGTGCACTTTATTTCTATTACTATTACATCAGCTCCACCTCAGATCATCAGGCATTAGACCCTGGGGGCTGGGGATTGGTCCCTGGCCTTGAGCCCTATTGATATTTGGACCAGATAATTCTTATAGTGGAGGGAGCCTGTCCTATCTGTGTACCCTGTGCTCAGCAACATCCACTTACCAGGTGCCAGTAGCACGCACGCGCGTGGGCACACACACACACACACACACACACACACACACACATGCAAACCATTTAGGCATAACTAAAAACGTCCCCAGACATTGCCAAATGTCCCTGCCCTGTGGAGAACCACAAAATCGGAAGCCACTGGTGAGAACTGTGAGGTCCCAGTCCTTGGGCCTGGCCAACCCCACCCCTACCCCGAAGTAGCCAGAAGCCACAAAGGATGTGGAGGCTTCCCGGGATGTCACAGCGGGAGGCTGCCAGCAGAAGCTGGCCCCAAGAGGGGCAGCACAAGAAGTCTAGCCCAGTGTGACAATAATAATTGTAATACCAATAGCTACAACTTATTGTTCGCTCTGCCGGGGGACCCTGGGGCTGGCTTTCGGAACCTCCCAACTGCCTAGAGGGCAGGCATTCTTGAAGGCTCCATCTTGCAGGAAATTCAGCAGGGGGAGGCCAAGTGACCTATGCAAGGTCATGCACTAATTAGAAATGCAAAGGCAGGGCGATGACTTGTAATAAATTGTAACAATGGAACAGGCAGGTGCCGAGCTGGGGGCAGCAAGGCAACCCCCACCTCGGAGGGGTCCTCCATTCCCCTGCAATCTGTAATCCATCTGTAAGTCTTAATCACTGATTTCGACCCCAGGCAACGCTAAGGATGACCCCACCTGCGACAGACTCAGAGCCCAATAGAGGTGTCCGGGGGGAGCGCACAGCCCGCCCTCCCAAAACACACACACACCTCCGCCGGCTTCCAGAAGCATCCGCAGCCGAACAGGGAAGGCAAATCGTGGTTGTACTTACTACGCAGCTTCAAGAGAAGTCCAGCAAGAACCGACCGCCTCCCACCTCCCCAAACAGTCGGCTCCTCGGGAGCGGCCAGTTCGGCCGCCACCACGAGCCCTCGTGGTTAAGGCGAGCGTTTCTGGAGAATGACAACGAAACGGGATGGGAACGGAGGCTTGGGCCGGAGAAACTGAGGCTGGGTCGTTCGCGGCGGGGGTGGTGGGGGGAGTGGCTGAATCTCCCCGCTGCACGTTTACGGGGCTCTCTCCCTCCCTCTCCGCTGCTCCCCTCTCCTCCCCGCCCAATCCCGGCAAATCCCAGGTTGCTAGGCCCGGCTGGTGGCGGGAGGGGTGGGACGGAGGGACGGGGTACTGAGGCGCCCGAGAGGCCTCGCCCTCACTGCCCGGAGCTGGGGGGGAAACGGGGGTCTCCAGGAGCGAGGGGAGGGATATCCTTCCCTCCCCGCACCCTCCGTCCCGGGGCGGGACCAGGGGGCGGAGCGGGCCGGTGACCGGGCTGTGACGCGAGCCCCGCCTGCACTTATAGAGGCGCCCCCGGGGCGCAGGGACCGTGCTTCGCCGCCGCCTTCGCCGCAGCAGTTCGCAGCATCAGCACCAGCGCCGCCGCGTCCAGCATCAGCGCCACCGCCATGCGGGAGATTGTGCACCTGCAGGCCGGCCAGTGCGGCAACCAGATCGGAGCCAAGGTGCGCGGGGGGACCAGGCCCTGGGAGGATGCCGAGCGCGGTCCACTGAGCCCCGCAGAG